AATCCCTCTCGGCTGGAAGGTGCTGCCCTTGCCTTCACGGTTCACATAAGACAGATGGGGGCTTGACCCCCCCCACCCCCACCCCACCCCAGTTTGTCCCCGAGGGTGAGGAGACTCCCTGCTAGGTTCATCTGATCCGCTGTTGCCAGATGTACATGGATCGCACTTACATCAGCGTGTCTGACCGCTCCGACGCCAGATGGAACGCGCCAAGGGGCGGCCAGCGCGGTCTTTAATGGCGGGTTTGTCCCGGTTTGTCAGCGCGGTGTGAGTTTCGGAGGGTAACGTCGTGGGAGTGCTGTTTCAAGGTCCAGATTAGCGCCGTAATCAGGCCAATGGGGCCAGACAGCTTCCAGCAGGCTGTTTGGACAATGCCGTGACTCTGGGGGGCTTCAAAAAGGGCGTCATTAAAAGTGCCTGAAAAGAAAAGGGCGTCCCATTATAAGGCATGAAATGCAGCAGCGCCGTACATCTCTCGTCGTGTCCTGTTGTATTTTTAATATTGCTCTTTCTGGTTTGTTTACGTCGGAGTGTCTAAATCTTTCATCACGGAGGCCGGGACCCAATTTCCCTGCTGAATACGAGAGCGTGAAGGTGGAGGAGGGGTGGGGGTGGCAGGGAAGAGGGGGGGTTGTTAGTTGATGGGGGCAGTTTGAAAAAAGAAAGGCTTGTTTGGAGAAGAGGACAGGGATGAGGCAACTGGCGCAGGCTCTGACGTCAAAGATGTTCCCTTGGCTGTGAGCCAGGGCCCCGCGGGACTGCCAGCCCTGGCTCCCGCCCCGCGCTCCGCGCTTGATGTGGCCGCATGCCTGTCATTGCCACGGCTACGGCGCTGGGCCGCCACCGATCGGCGGGATGTGCAGGGGGGGGGGAATGGAATGTGTTGCTCCCCACGCCCCACCCCCCCACCCCCCCCGACTCACACTCATACACACACACACGCCCCCGCTGCTTCTCTCCCTTAATGAGTTTGAGTGGATCGCCCGAGCGAAGCCCGCAGCGTTCCGGCGTGTTCTAATGAACCCGTAGTGCTGAGTCACCAAAATGCAGGACACGCCCGCCCCCCACTGGATTACGGCCGGGTTTAGCTGGTAATATGGTAATATAACCCGTTTTTTTCAGGTTGAACGATTGACTGCGCCAGGATTTGGCTGGCAGGATTAGGAAAATCCTGTCGTTTCTTATAGTATCGTAGCCCCCCCCCGTCCCCCACACTATTTGGGGTGCTGTCTCTATGACGACTTACCGCAGATACGGTACAGTGAAAGTACGGCGTTCCCCCCCCCACCCCTCTGGGTGAATGGTGAAACCCTTCTGGGCCTGTGCAAACCTGTGCTGGTCCTGTGCCAGTTTTACGCAAGGGGCCAGGGCGGGTAGTGGTTCTCCGTAAAGCTGAGCAGTGCGACCTCCTCCTGCCCCAGATGATGACCAAGCCCAGCGAACCCAGCCGGCAGCATGAGAGCCATCCGGAGGAGACGGAGGAGGAGCTGTCAGAGGCTGAGGGCCTGCCCAGGGGGGTCACCATCAAGCAGGAGCCCCCTGAGGAGCCAGAAGAGGAGCAGCAGCTGCAGAGGGAGAGGCAGGCTGAGCAAGAGCTGCTCTTCCGGAAGGTAGGAGGCACGGGCTCTGGCGATGTCATCACACTACTTGGGTGTGGCTCAGATGACATCATCACAGTGCTAGAAGTTGGGCTCAGATGATTTCATCACAATGCTAGGAGTGAGGTTATGGTGATGTCATCACACTGCTAACTATCTGACTGCTCTTATTGTCTTTATAAACTTCGTAATATCACGTTGATGTCTGATTTGTCAAGTGGTACCTGTCAGCTTTGTAATTAAGATGCAGTTTGCTTAGGTGTGTGTGTGTGTTTGTGTGTGTGTGTGTGTGTGTGTGTGTGTGTGTGTGTGTGTGTGTGTGTGTGTGCATGCGTGTGTGAGCCCATTTTGCGGGCATGGGGAACCATATCGTTAAGATCCGTTTAGGAATAACTGCAGCCGCTGAGCCGTAGCAGCCTCACCTCCGAGCGACTGCGGGACTCCTCCTCAATGAGGCTGAAAGACACCGGGAGCAGAGCGGTTAAGGAGCCCTTGTCGGGGGGTTTAGTAGCAGGCACATGCGCACAGATAGCCCCCCCCCCCCACCTCGTAAAAGCATCACTCCCCTGCACTGCAGTCGAACGTGATTGAGTTTCACCAGGGGGCAGCAGGCAGGAATCTCATTTCCCCAGATGAGTTTCCTGGATGGGAACGGT